CTGTCTGTCTATGTCTGATAAAGAGTCGGCATCAGATTCTCCCAGTGATGAGTAAGAAATTCCTGTCAGATCTGTTAAAAATTAAAGATTAACTAATCAGAAATCACTATCTGGAATGATGAGTGGGAAATCGACCCAATCAAATCTGTAAACATTAATTAACTAATCAGCAATCACAACCTAGAAGTACATTACACACTGAGATAAAAAAATATTGTATGCAACATTATTTTCATTCGGTTTCATATTTGCCCACTTAAACTTTCGAAACAATTTTTAAATTCACCTAGATTCCGTCATGTCTGGGTTTTTTTAAATTCGCCCTATTTTTTATTCTCAGAAGGTATGAAATAAAATTGGAGGTAAAAATATTCATGCATACAATACAATTAAATAAAAATTAGTTTGTACCACATAGAAAGACCTGAGATACAAAGATCCTGACTAACCTTGAAGCCTCCTGAGTTGTGTGTGTCTGCGAGTCTGATACGTAGATGTCTGCTGATCGACAGGAACGCACTGAATGAGATAATACTCCAGGTGGCACCACAACATAAACAGACAGTTCTTCAAGATGTCTGCAGCATAGTAAAGGGAGATTACTTCAAATCATGTTTGTTCTTGCTTTTCAATGCCTCTACAGTGTACCTATCCTCATGTTTGAAAATGCAAAGAACTTGCCAAAACTTTTTTTGAAAATAAGCTAGCTTCAACTTCAAAAAAAAAGTTTACATTGCACAAATTCTTATATTTTGCTTCATTCATAAAGGATACAAGCAAAGTACTGCAGTTGTTCCTCCTTGTAGTGTACGATTTTGGTGAGGCGAGTTTTAGAGAGTTTCTGTCTCTGATGAGATGTGAGCTTCTCTTCTACTCCAGAAAACTAAATAAACAGATTAAAAACATTATAATATAAAAATAAAAAGACATAAAAGACATATATTCTAAATGACTAAAAGTTACAACCTACTCTGATTTTATATTCCTTTGTAGTACGTTATGTTTTGATTTAATTATTATTTTTGTACCTGTTTGAGGTCGTCTGTACTAAGGTCAGCCAGACTGTTGTTTACGGAGATGTTGTGTGTGTCTTTATCTGTTAGAGGTCGTCTGTACTTAGATCAGCCAGACTCTGTAGCTTACGTAGATGTTGTTTGTGACTCTCGTACACACACATGAAGTGGTTCGAACACTGACGGAGTTGGTACACCACCACCCCTAGACTGGGGGCCTGGACTGTACTGCTATTCAGGAATGAGGTGTCTGTAACCAGATATATTACACGTACATTTAAAACAAGAAATGTTTAAAAATAAAGACCTCTACCCTCTTTTTTCAAGTTTACCTTAACAAGATATGTTACAAGTACATTTAAAATAAGTACTGCAAAATAAAATATATGAAACTTTTAATAAATACCTGTACTTGTATCATGACTGGGATGTTTTTAAGTTTACCTTAACAAACAAGAATGACCTTTTAAAGTAGAGAAAAAAATCTCCAAATATATATTGGACCCTCCTCTTACTCAAGTGCCCTGACCCAGGGCTTAGGAATTTCACTATTACGTTTGAGGCATTCTTACTAATTGTTACTTTACACTTAGTTTGTCTGCTAAATACCCAAAGTGGAGAAGATATTTAGATATCATCAACTCTGGTATCCTAGTTTGTCCTTCAAGTAACATGCATTCCAAATTAAAAATTTAAAGGACAATCACAAATCCTGTAAAAATTAAAGGAAAAACGGATTTTTATACACAATACCTTCCCATATATAAATTAATATTTTGGATAAGGGCTAAGTCTTGTTTATTAAACATACTATAGGGTTATTGAACTTAAATCGGTTAATATTGACACACGTTGACTGTACAAATGCATGGGCTTACAAGTGCATTTGTACAGCAGAGTGCCATTTTCACCAATACAAGTTCAATAGCTCTTATATCATGTAGCTAAGACATTTCCTCATAATTCATAATAATTATTCCAACTTTAAAAAAAACACAAATTAATGATTTTTTAGTATTGGTATTCAAATTAACGACTGTCCTGTAAGTATTCAATATTGTATCATTCCGATGACCCTACCGAGCCTTATGATTTGCTTGGGTCTAATACATGCATACTAATTTTTTAATAATAATTTTTTTTTTGTGTAAAAAATAAACACATCTTACCTAGATCCACTTTCTTTTTATAATTTAGTTCTGAGAATTGACTAAACAATTTTTATTATTTAAAACAGGGCGTTCAATATTGAGCGCACGTATTAGGAATGTTAAGGGCATACTCATATTAATACGTATATAAATTTCAATAAAATGTTAAGATATTGAAAGCTAGAATTCTTTAGATTTTTGATAGTATTCTTTAGAGACTATTTATTAGCTATATAATAACACAGTTTATTGACCTCTGACCTCTAGTGCTATAAATAACTTACCGTCAGTACTTCCTAGATCTCTAGCAAGGGCTTCATCCAGACTCGGTCTGAACAGAACTCGAGAAAACTGTGAGGTTGGACCTAGAAATTTAAAAAAAAACTGAACATTACAAAAAGTTACAATATGTTTTTGTGATGCTGATATTACTTAACATTTACAATATGGTAAAGGCTTCTGAGAAAGAATAAGGATAACAATTCCATTATCTGTTTTTTTTTCGATATGACATATCTTCTGACACACATAAATTCAAAGTGAAAGATTTACAACTTCAAATTTTTTTTGACAGTTCTGACAGGTTTATCAACACTTATTTGATCAATCTGACAAGATATGTCCTTAAATTTGTTGTTTCACCTGAGGTTGAGATGACAGCTTGACAGTAGGAGGTCACATTGAAGGACACTTCTAAAAATACCACCACAAGTTCTGAACTTAAGTCCTTCCCCCGAGTCGACTCGTCATCCAGTAACTTGAGTTGTCTGTTGACTCTCTCAGATATACAGTACTTTGGCATCAAAGCCAATATCTGTCTCTCAATCCTGACCTTTTGACCTTTCAACACTATTCCAGCTGGGTCAAGGTCATCAAATTCCCCATCTGGAATGCATGTTTTGTACAACATTAGAAATGAAGATACACATAATACTTTGAACATTTTATAATTAAACTTTGGGAAAAAATATACTACCAATAAAAATGTCACAATGAAGAAATCTACTTCCATAAAGGCACAAACTTCTGGAGTTGGCTCGTGTCAGTACTGCTGTAGTTAGAGCTAGTTCACGTAGAGCAGGGAGACTTAAACTGGGCTGTCTGTCTCGTAGAATTCCGTGGAAAACTTCTCCGTGAGATAAGATAAACTGCATCACCTATATAACAGCATGGAATAATGAACATTACTGTAAAATGTTTGTGGGGTCTGTTGTTTGTGGATTTCGTTGGTCAGCCTTACCCATAAAATTACATTCCCATGACAATATATTTTTTTAAATGTATGTATCAGTTACTTGATTCTAATCTATCTTTGAGTTACCTATGAAATTATATATATGCCTTCAAGAACATGTCAATTGCCTATAGTAATACTGTATGAGTGGAAATTTTAGTGATACTAATATTTAGCGATTTCTCCTTAAAAAATGGTAATTTATTTAAAGCCAGAGGTAATTTTAGCGATTTTAAAATGCTTAATAAAGCAGCAATTACAAATACAATTAATTTTTAGCCGTATTCAGTTTTAGCGATCTCATGACCCTCGCTAATTATGCCAAAATTAAATCCTCGCTAAAAATTCTACTTATACGGTACTAGCACTGATAAGGAGAGGAACTCATAAGTTGAAAGAACTTGTTTCCAATCCTTTTGTTTATACAATAAAATATGTTCAAAACAAACAACACTGATACCCACAAGTCAAAACAGTGATAAATTCTACTTGATGTAAAGACTTTCTACACAACTAATTCTAAATACTGTTATGGGTCCAACCGTCCAAGGGACTTTGCATTAAACATTAGATCTAAAGCTGGAGAGAATATTCATGCATCTGATTGCCACAGTCCTGGTTTTCTATGCCCAGTGAGGTCAGCATGGCCAGACAGAACTTGAGGGCGGCAAAGAAAATTGACGATAGCGGGCCATGGGGCTGGGCAGGAAGTCCTCCTCTGTATCTACACCCGCCTGTAGAAATCATCATAAGGTCAAAAATCAACATGTAAACTACATGTATGCTCATGCAATGGTTACTGATGAGAAAATGATTTTCTTAATTCATTATACATTGTAAACTGTTAAACTCTATACATGTACTACTACTACATGTACATAATTACAGTGGAAAGTTTTGATTTATTTAATTTAAAGAGTTGTCAACAATCAAGACATATACATATATTGAGTACATTTACTAAAGTAATGATTAGAGACACTCTAATTTAATCATAGGGTTTATGCAAACCGCCTATATCTGCTAACCTCTAAACCACCACTGGGACATGTTTGATTTCTGTAAAGATTCTTCAGACCTTTAAGCTGACACATCCATCTGTCAAAGTCAGGTCGAAGGTCAAAGAAGACACATCCAGCCAGTCTCTGCATGACTTCACACGGTAACAAGGTGTGGGCCCCCATGGCTGACTCTGTCTGTAATACACAGTCACTGTATTCATATATGTCAGAGCCCTTAAATTTCATATCAATATTGAAAATCAATGGAATACTGCTAAATCGAAATTTTTGAATGAGTTACAGATTAATGTTTTGTTAGATGCATGATGACAAATGTGGGGGTAGAATAAGGCAGTAATGGAAGACTTACATTATAGTTTAGACAGGTAGATGTACAGCACTCTGAGTTGGGGGGTGGGGGACACAAGGGTCTGTAGCGGCTGGTCGTCATGGAGAAGGCTGTCCACCAGGTGTTGGAGGTAACCTTTAGAGGACAGAAAGGTCATCCACTGCTGGAACTTGTCCATAGACAGAATGGTGTCCAGTACTGATAGAGCCAGCATCTACAACAGAAAGATATGACTGATAAAGCCAACCTGTACGAAATTGCACGCCTGGTAAAAGCACGTAAACCAGGCGTCATTTTCTGCAAAAACCAGGCGGATTTTGTCTCAATACCATATATGTAAACCAGGCGTACAATGAGATGGAAACCAGGCGTAAAAAGAGGTGTAATATGCTAATTTTACGCCTCTTCTATAAACCAGGCGTAAAGCATTTTGTCCTGGGATAAAAACTGTCCAGGCGTAAAAAAAGTTGTCCAGGCGTAAAAAAAAATTGTCCAGGCGTAAAAAAAATTGTCCAGGCGTAAAAAAGTTTGGAGGTATACAGTATACATATAATTTACAAACTATAATACAGGTATAGAAAATACAGAATTTATTTTATCAAAACACACACTAATATTTAGGTATTAATTTTGATAGTTACAAAAATATCATTTAGGTATTAAATTACATAAAATCTCTTCCAAAGGCTTTTTCTCTTAATTTTGATAGTTACAAAAATATCATTCAGGTAATCTTTATATTGATAAATTAATAATCCATCCAATTTCAAAAAATAATGATTTAAAACATTGCTACATCTTTGACATTTCACTTTAAGGTCTTATCTGGCATTCAGAGATCTTCATTTTCTTTTTTCCTGCTGTTCCCTTTTAAGCTTTTTACGGCAATGAGACACCTGCTCGGTTATAGCATTATTCAGTTCTTGGTCTTTCGGTTCACATTTTTCATTTTTCCTACACTAGCGACGAACATAACCTGAAGAGAAAATGTAGTCATACTTATATTTATACTGGGGAGACTGGGGAGTGTGTCTTTATTAAATACTAGTAAATTATGATGCTATCAAAAATAATACAGAATAGGCTAATAATGATTTCAATCATTCATGTAAAAGAGAAACCAATAAGATTTGTTGTTGTTGGCCTAACATATATTTTGCATGCATTACTGTTATATATTTTTGCTGCTTAAGAATTTATTTTTAAAAATTGATGTCTATTACCTTTGATAGCAGCAACTTTGTCTTTATCAAGAACTTTCCTCAGATCTCCCTCCTTTTGTTTAGTAAGCCCTTGTCCCCTTGAGATAGCAATCTCTTGAATGCTGAATACCCCTGGTAATAAATTATAACACAGGGTATATCCTGATTTGTTGGATTTCTTTGCTGATCTCACTGCATGCTGCAGGGTCTCCGATTTGATAAACACTCCTGGATGTGTTCTAACTAACATCACCATTCCGTCATTCTATAAATGAAAAATGACTGTACTGAAGCATGAATGTTAAATACAATGAAAACAAAATTTTGATTGCGTTTTACTTTTTTGTAATTTGGTAGAATTTTACCATAATGAGAATATACAATGCTTGTTTATAAAATAATTAAACAGCACTGAGCAATAGGGAGGATTTTTTTGACAGTTAAATTAAGAATATGATTATTTATACACTACTTTAATTTGGTACTCACCCCTTCTGCTCTTCCTGGGGATGAAATATCCTGATCAGTCTCCCTTGATCTATCTGAAGATGGAGGATTAGTGGTGGCCTGCTTGTTTATTGTCTAAAAAAGAAAAAAAAATGAATAAATTACAGACAATTAATTAAATGTATCAAATACTAAATGTGTTTCACACAGATAATTTTTTTTTCATTTTTCTTTTTTAATTCTTATCTCACCTCAGTAGATACTCCAGGTGATGAAAAAATGTTAGGATTGGTAGGATTGGTAGACCAAACTTGCATGGATGATGCATCTAGGGATGGACACTACCAGACTTGCTTCGGATGCTGGATCTGACCTACATTTTCATTCCCATGTAACTATGAGCCCTACCTGAAGCAAACTTGCATGGATGATGCATCTAGGAATGTACACTACCAGACTTGCTTCGGATGCTGGATCTGACCTACATTTTCCAGATGAGTGAACAGGTTAAAGTTTTTGGAGCAGGTCCATTCCCAAGGAACTATAAGCCCTACCTGAACCAAACTTGCATGGATGATGCATCTAGGGATGTACAATACTAGACTTGCTTCGGATGCTGAATCTGACCTACATTGTCTAGATGAGTGACCAGGTTAAAGTTTTTGGAGTAGGTCCATTCCACAGGAACTATAAGCCCTATTTGGACCAAACTTGCATGGATGATGCATCTAAGGATGGACACTACCAGACTTGCTTCGGATGCTGGATCTGACCTACATTTTCATTCCCAAGTAACTATAAGCCCTACCTGAAGCAAACTTGCATGGATGATGTATCTAGGGATGTACACTATTAGACAAGTTTCAGATGCTGGATCTGACCTACATTTTCATTCCCAAGGAACTATGAGCTCTATTTGGACCAAACTTGCATGGATGATGCATCTAGGGATGGACACTACCAGACTTGCTTCGGATACTGGATCTGACCTACATTTTCATTCCCAAGTAACTATAAGCCCTACCTGGACCAAACCTGCATAAATGATGCATCTAGGAAAGGACACACCAGACTTGCTTCGGATACTGGAGCTGACCTGCATTTTCATTCCCAAGTAACTATAAGCCCTACCTGAACCAAACTTGCATGGATGATGCATCTAGGGATGGACACTTCCAGACTTGCTTCGGATGCTGGATCAGACCTACATTTTCATTTCCTAGTAACTATAAGCCCTACCTGAACCAAACTTGCATGGATGATGCATCTAAGGATGGACACTACCAGACTTGCTTCGGATGCTGGATCTGACCTACATTTTAATTCCCAAGTAACTATGAGCCCTACCTGAAGCAAACTTGCATGGATGATGTATCTAGGGATGGACACTACCAGACTTGCTTCGGATGCTCGATCTGACCTACATTTTTCATTCCCAAGTAACTGTAAGCCCTAGCTAAACCAAACTTGCATGGATGATGTATCTTAGGATGGACATTACCAGGCTTGCTTCGGATGCTGGATCTGACCTACATTTTCATTCCCAAGTAACTATGAGCCCTACCTGAAGCAAACTTGCATGGATGATGTATCTAGGGATGGACACTACCAGACTTGCTTCGGATGCTCGATCTGACCTACATTTTTCATTCCCAAGTAACTGTAAGCCCTAGCTAAACCAAACTTGCATGGATGATGTATCTTAAGATGGACACTACCAGGCTTGCTTTGGATGCTGGATCTGACCTACATTTTCATTCCCATGTAACTATAAGCCCTAGCTAAACCAAACTTGCATGGATGATGCATCTTAGGATGGACACTATCAGACTTGCTTCGGATGCTGGATCTGACCTATATTTTCCATACAAGAGCCCAGGTTAAAGTTTTGGGAACAGATCAATCCGAATGAACTTGAAGTCTTTGATATCTGTAGTTTTAACAGTTATGAAAATTTTTGTTTACACAATACATGTTTTTCACACTACATGCATAGAAATGTGTATATACCATGTAGAGGGTTAAGCATAACTTGCAAGAATATTGTTGTTGGGATGAATACTTAATATTAAGAAAATATGATGTAGGATTTGCATTACTTAAATTGATAACATTCGTCGAGGTGAGCTTCGTAATCTTTGATTACCTATGTTTTTCAAATGTAGTCGAAAAATATTAAAAGTTGCACATGATGGATATATTCATATAAAACTGATCATGGTATATTTTTAAGAGGTCAATATAACTCTTAAAGTATTTTACAGTAATTGTGCCTCTAAAGAAAACATGAAAATTCTCTAAGTCCAAAATTACGTTTCAGTAAATTTTCTAAGTCCAATATTACGCCTCATGATTTCAAGATACGCCTGGTTTTACATTTGGAACTTTTACGCCTGGTTGTTTCAGACGGAAAATGGCACGGAATCCATGTCAAGAAAGAGCAGGATTACGTGTCCTGCTCATGTACGCCTGGTTCTGAGGCGTAATAGTAAATTACGCCTGAAAACCAGCTGGTTTCCGTGTTCAAACCAACTGGTTTCCGCTTCATCAGTTCGTACGGGAACCTACAAATATAACAGATAGACCCATCGTCTACAACAGACAGATATAACACATTATATTAATATAGGTCATGCGCTGCTGGAACCTGTTCAAAATGAAATCAGTGGAACTAAAAATACACAAGGATATCAAGAAATATTCCCTCCTAACCCTTCCTATATCATGTCCATCACACGCGTCACAACACACTATCTCCATAAAGTTGTCGCCGTATGACAGAATGGTCGCCACATTTTCCCGTCTCAGCTGTTCATACTCAGAGAGGGCGTCGGCCAAAGTCCTCTTCCCAATACCATCACCTCCTACCTCTGTCAGAAAAAGGAAACATCATTATCAGCCTTTGTCATGGTAGTTTATGTTTTTATTTCATATAACATAACACTTGAAGAGCATGTATTCTAAATACATAAATTTTACGTTGATCCATGTATGCCACAAAGTATGAGCAAAATCTGTGAGTTCTGTTGACATTCAGGCTTTATAACCTCTTACTTAGAATTATATTCTTAAACAAGACACATGTGACCTCTACTTAAACATACCTGTTTCTATGTGAGTCAGTGACTTGGGTTTCTAAACAATTTGTAGATAATTAACAGCAGGGCCCCATATAGATTGGCTCTTACTCTCTGCTGGCCACCACCTTAATAAAATTTCTTAGTTTTGTACAAAGTTGTTTGAAATTATAGTTTTATGAACACTCACTTGAAAAATTTCTTTTCAGCAAAAAATTATGTACATGTACACTTCAGATATTTTGATAATTCTTACTTGAAAGTAGAATGTGATCTATCACTCCTCTAAGCACCAGTTGAAGGGAGGAAGCAAATTGGGTTCGTGACCCCGACACTTGACCCCATCTGACCTTGACCTGCTGTGGAGTCCAGCATGGGGAGGAAGTGTGAGGTTTCGTCGTCGGAGACAGAATCCTGACAGAAACACTGACGTAGATTTGTCATCAGAGTAAGGATGATCCCAGCCACAGGGGCAGTTAACTCTGTCAACGCATCATCTTCTGTCATCTAATAATAATGAGTAGATTGATATTAAATGAAGTATCAAGGGACGCAATCCTACAACTTTTTTCTCTGAAAAATCAAAATTTCCCCTCCCTTTCCCCAAAATGAAAGCAATTGTCAACATGAATATTAGGATGTGAGAGAAGGAAAATGTTATGGTTCCATTTTTCAATAAATCTTTTTGCAAGATTTACACTTTTACCTTAAGTATACAGATGAAATTTGGCCAATACCTGGCATTAGCTAGATGCTCATGTTCTTGTACATTAATACCAGATACATGTACTTTAGGGTTGGTAAACAAAACACACAGATGTTGTTCTACCTTTCTCTGTAGTTCCGGTAGCAGCTCAAACAGAACGGTCTGTCTGTCCTCAGCGGTCAGTAAGTGCTCAGGACACACGGTCAACAGAACCTCAGTCACCTGACACCACGCCTCCAGAGCCTGGTGTTTGGTGGACAGTTCCTGGTGGATTCTGACACCACGCCTCCGGAGCCTGCCGTTTGGTGGACAGTTCCTGGTAGATTCTAACACCACGCCTCCAGAGCCTGCTGTTTGGTGGACAGTTCCTGTCGGATCCTGTTACGCAGCACCACATGATGAAGAATATTCTCCACTTCCTGAAAAGTTTGAAAAATCAATAATTTTAGCTAGAAATTTTAACATCCTGTTTTCTATTGGCAAGGGAAAAAGGGGCAGGTCAAAAGCATGAAGAGAACGACCCGCTGAGAGTTTTACCTCTTAGTCACTATGATATCGATCTCACCTCTAATACTCGCGGCCTCTGAGTCACCATGATGTTGCCCTGGTTATAGTTGTTCAGTTCGTTCATCAGTAGGCAGTGAAGTCGTTTGACATCACAATACAAAATGTCCTGTTCGGTCCGAGTCTCTACACTTTTAATGGCTTGTTCAATCATCGACAATTCGAAAAACTCCAACTTCATTGTAGGAGGATAACGTTGTGAAAAGTCAACTTCATCCAGAAGTCCTAGCAACTTCCTGCGCACTTGGCGGCCTGAACAAGGAAGATAAAGTTTTTAAGAGCAAAAGAAGAGCAGTGTGATAATGAAATGAAGTGAGAAAGAGTTTACATGAGAAACAGAAGAGTAGTGAGTTAAAGATTTTTAATGCTGTTCTTTGCTTACTTCTGAATGGCCTGGCTGTCTGAGACAGATACGATGTTTGTAGACTCTGCTCTGTAAATCTGTCGTACGTCAGGTCAGCTTCGTCTCCTATTATGCTGGCTGTAATACTGTGAAGATCACAAAACTTTATTACTTTCTTTAATTACAAGTGTCCAAGACATCAGACTCAATTTGTTATGATACAGGAACTCGATTCTCAAAGTTTTGTAAGACTGTAATTTAACTCGACTTTACCATTTATACCCCTGACAAGTCATGGATCAAGGCTCTCACTAACTTGAGTTTGTGACCTTAGAACTTGACCTTATCTGTTTGACCTTCTGACCCATAATCCCATTAAACTCAGTCTGTGTGACCTTTGAACTTGACCTTACCTGTTTGACCTTCTGACCCATCATCCAGCAGGGCTTTCATTAACCTCAGTGTGTATGACCTTTGACGGTTCAATGCAGTCAGTCGCAGTTCAATGGCTATCAGCTTCAAAACCAGGACTGAGAAATCATTACAGGGCGTTCTAAAAATACATACACAAATTTAATCATATAAGGTTTGACTAGCTTCTCTGCGCACATTAAGATGTATAATTAT